CAGAAATATGAAGACCAGGAAAGGAGAACTGCCCTAAGGGAAGGATGAGAAAAAAATGAAGACTCAAAGAAAAGATAAAAATGCCAAAAGCTGGCCCAGCCAGTGTGACTCAATGATTCGGCATCTACCTATGAACCTGGAGGTCACCATTGGATTTCCGATCAGGGCACATGCCTGGGTTGCAGGCTCCATCCCCACAGCGGGGGAGGGTGCAGGAGGCAGCCAATCAATGATTCTCTCTCATCATTGATGTTTCTATCTCTCCTTCTCCCTTCCTCTCTAAAATCAATAAAAATATATTTTAAAAAAAATTTTAATGTCAAAAGCTGGGTGGCATGACATGAGAAGATAACATGTGAGGGAGTATATGAGATGTCTGAATCAATGTACTTAGTTTATTAGGGTTAATAAAATTTTAAATCAAAATACCGTGCCAGCTAGGACTCAAAATAATTCTCCTCCTCAATCATGAAGTAACAGTGGTTGGCAAAAGTAGGTTTACAGTGGTAAGTCTGCGCGAAACAGAGTTTATTCTTGTATTACGATTTATTCATTTTTGTATTTTCCATACAAACAACGGCAGAGAGTCATCTCTTTAGCTATGACAAGGCAGACACCACAACAGCCTGGAAAAATTTCTGGGTGATGCTTGCTGCAATGGGTTCCTTCTCAAAACTTCATACACTCTTGGGGCAAGAGAAGGTAATAACCTAACCCAGCCTTGCTTTTTGGGGTGCAAACCTGTGATCCAGGGAGGAAAAGTCACATACCTGGCTGACTGCAGAACCAAATTCTTGGTATCTCCCCTCCCCGATCCTAAAAGCTTTTCATCAGTAAAAACCAACCTACTTAATCCTGAACATTTATAGCTGTTTAGACAGCTGTCCAGCACAGCTACTCTTGCTGACCACAAATTCTCCGCTGCTCTCTTACCTGTCTGAGCAACCAGGTGTGTCCACCCACTCCACACAGCAGTGACCTTTTCATTCTGAAAACAATGTGCTTCTATTTTCTGAGGCACAGGAAGGAAAGCAGCCTGGGAAGCCAGTTGCCCGTGCTTGTTGCTTCCCCAAACATACAGGTCTCCTGAATCTTAAACAAGAAGAGGAACAAAAGAGGTGAAGGAACATTAGTCCAAAATGATGGAAAAGAAAAGAGACTGAAAAAAAAAGTGGTTCAAAGAAGTTGTATTGTTTTTATGCTACAATGTTGAGTAGAGCAAAGCAAGATAAAAATTTCATATACAGCATAATATAGGATTTTTTTAATTCTCTAAATAGGAAACAAAGCCAAATACTCACAGTAGTTTGTCAAGGAATGGGAATGTGTGAGCTTATTTTTCCATTAATTCATTCAACAAATATTTATTCAACATCTACCATGTGAAAGGTTATTTCTCTATATTCTATAGCTTTTAAAATACATGCTTGCAGCCCGGCCAGTGTGACTCAGCAATTCAGCATCAACCCAGGTTCAAATCCCAGTCAGGGCACATGCCTGGGTTGTGGGCTTGGGGGGCATGCAGGAGGCAGCCAAGCAATGATGCTTCTCTCCCATTGATGCTTCTATCTTTGTATACCTCTCCCTTCCTCTCTCTCAAAACAATCAATAAAAACATATTAAAGTAATAATAAATAAATATATGCTTACATTACCTTTTGTTAGAAAAAATATATTAACTTTTTGAAGTAACACGTTAAAAAATATTATTTAAGCTTAAACTTTTGTTTTGTTTTAAATTTTTTTCCAATTACAGTTGACCCTCAATGATTAATTAGTTCCAGGGGTACCGCTTAGTGGTTAGACATTTATGTAACTTACTAAGTGATCCCCCCGATAAGTCTAGTACCCATCTGGCACCATACATAGTTACTACAATGCTATACTTTACATCCCAGTGACTGTTTCCATAACTACCAATTTGTGCTTCTTAATCCCTTCATCTTTTTTATCCAGCCTCCAACCCCCCTCCCATCTGGCAACCATCAGTTTGTTCTCTGTATCTATGAGTCTGTTTCTGTTTTGCTGATTTTGTTTTTCAGATTCCACATATAAGTGAAATCATGTAGTATCTGTCTTTGTCTGAATTGTTTACTTTTTAAGCTTAAACTTTTTAAACCTAAGATTTCACAATATGCCCTGTCTAGCAGACACTATATAATGCTACCACATCACGTCTGTGTGGCACTTCAGCTCACTTGAACATCACAATAATCCTGTGATATAAGCAGGAATGTAACTGACTTTGTGATTTAATAGAGAAAGAGCACATTCAGAGTCAAGTGGCTTCTATTCTCGGATCTGCTAACTAGCTATTGACCTTGGACAATCACTTCCTCCCTAAGCCTTAGTTTCACCAGCTGAACACTGGAGGTTAGTCTACAAGGACAAACAATATGATTGATGACACCAGTAACAAGAGAGACTGGCGGGCAATTGTGGCAAACCAGAGGGCACATGCCTGTCTAAAAGGCATTCAGGTTCAAAAAAATTTCTGAGATTCACCAATGAACTTATATGCATACTAGAGGCCCGATACACAAAATTCGTGCAAGAGTAGGCCTTCCTTCCCCTGGCTGCCAGCACCGGCTTCCCTCTGGCACCCGGGACCCAGTCTTCTCTCTGGCCGCTGGCAGGCACCTGGGACCCGGGCTTCCCTGACAGCCCCAGCTTCGTCCAGAAGGACGTCCAGTCTAATTAACATATTACGCTTTTATTATTATAGATATGCATTACCCATGGACACAGACAATAGGGTGGTGAAGGCCTGGGGCAGGGCGGGATCTGGGTGGAGGAGGGCAATGGAGGGAGACAAGAGGGGGACATCTGTAATACTCTCAACAATAAAGTTTTCTTAAAAAGTGGGGGGGAGGACTTAACTGGAAGCCAAACAAAATGGGGCCATGGGCTATAATTAGACCATGAATCTACAATTTGTGACTCCTCTGGTGATCTCTAAGGGCTTTTCCAACCCTAATGTTCTAAGGTTCTATAAGGTTCCTCACACGAGGCTACTGAGCACTTGAAATGTGGCTAATCCAAACTGAAATGTGTTGTAAGACAAAAAAGCGCAATGGATTGCAAAGACTTACTATAATAAATAAATGAATAAATAAAGCATAGCTCATTAATAACTTCCATATTGATTACACATTGAAATAATATTTTGGATATGCGGGGTTAAGTACAATGTATTACTAAAATTATTTCACCTGTTTCTTTTTTACTTTTCAAAAGGTGGTTCACATTGTATTTCTACTAGACAGCACTCTTCTACAAGATAAATTAACCAAGGCTCCAAGATGTTAAACGACTTCCAAGATCATATGGATAATGAGGAGTCAGCAGAATAAAGAAGCCAGGTCTTCTGCTTCCACTGTATTCTGTGACCTTCCAATAAAGCGCTACAGTACTGCTTGCCCTAGGGTACTCTGGTATAGTCTCAAAAACTGATCAAAAGCCAAACAATATCAGTATAAAGGGCATTAGATTCAGGGTTCAAGGCCCAGATCTGCTGCTCTGTCACTCTGACATTGGGCACATCGCTTCACATCCTGAGCCTCTATTTCATCAAGTCTAAAATGAGGGAGTGTAAATACGTGGAGCTTCTTTATCACCCAGGTGACCTTGCAGCACTGACATTCTGCACTTCTATGGTATATTTCATGCAGCCTCTCTGGGCTTCACCAGGGTTTGCAAAATATGATCCTTTTCAAGAAGGCAGAAGAGAACTTCAGATAAGTCTCAAGTCATTAAATGGCCTGGTTAGCTACCAAGATGCCATTGGCCATGAGCCTGTGTCTGTAATAAGCTTCTATTTACCTTAGTAAGTCTAAACCATCTTTTTGCAAACACAGAGGGCCTTCCACATGCGGATCATTACACTGTTGCAAAATTAAAGTCTGCTGCAATGTCAAATAGTTACATAACCTACAGCTCCAAAAAAAGGTTTCCAGAGCAATGAACAAGACCCAAGGTGTTAAAAGCTTGAACTAGACGAGGAAAGGGGGATATTAATCTTGACAACTTTTAACTGACATTAAAAATATCCAAAAACAGCCCTGGCTGATTTTGCCGGTTGGTTGGCCATCTTCCCATGCACCAAAAGGGTACCGGTTCAATTTCCGGTCAGGGCACAATCACAGGTTGCTGGGCTCAATCCCTAGTAGGGGGTATAGGAGGCAGCTAATCGATGTTTCTCTCTTACATCTATGTTTCTTTCTATTCTCTTCCTTCCTCTATCTCTAAAAATCAATTTAAAAATCTTTTTTTAAAATATCCAAAAACAATTCACTTTGTGAATTTACTAAAATCACTAGATTGTACAACTTAAAGGGAAATTTTACACATGTATTACATCTCAATAAAATAAAAATTTAACATTTGTTTTAAAAACACCAAAATAAACGTGCTCCATATATGGAATAAGTAACTTTACAAATTACATGATTTTTTAAGAAATTGATATTATAAGCAATTAGAGAATCTCTAGATTTCAAATTAATTAGAACAGAGCAGAAACATCTCTTAGCCTACTCTTATCTCAGAAAAGAATGCCTTCCCCAACCTCATTGACTGTGGGACATGAACTAGTCACTTCCTGCCCTGGGGCCTCCAGTCCTTCCTTTATAAGTGGCATTCATTTCAACTCAACTCTTTCAACATATATGTATAGATCTAGCTAATATGAAACATAGGCTAAAAGTAGGTATTTCTTTTCTTGGCTGTTTTAAATTCATTATGTAACAAACTATATGTAGTTCAGAGTTTGTAAAGTATTTAAGCTCTTACATTATGTCTGTACTTTAGAAACAATAACAGCTTCTCAGTGGGGCTGCATTGCAAATCTGATGTTGAAGAAATTAATATGAATTAATTTACACATACTACGTACATACCTTAACTTCCACATAAAACACTATGCATGAAAGTCGTTTCCCTTTGCTTAAAAATGTAACGCATTTAACTCTGTGTGAGGTCTTAACCAAAATAAATTTCTCAAAGCTATAGTCTCCAGTCTACCAGCAGGGGGCAGAGGAATCTGGGCTTTGAAAAAGACAGCCTTCACTTTCCAGAAAATACTGTATTGACTGGGTGTGTCAAATGTATGGATGGATGTATAGCTAGACAGATATAGTGTGAGAGAGAAAAAAGGTTAGATAAAGGAATAGATCAAAGATATGGAATCAAGAAATAAATAAAAATACAAAGTAGAATAGAAAAACATACATAACTAGATTTAGATATATGGATATATAGATTAGATAGATACAAAGATAAAATATCGATAAAAATAGAGATATATAGTTAAATAAAATAGATAAATATAGAAAGAACAAACAGGGAGATAAATGAATTTGAAAGGTTAGTTTGAGATTAAACAGAGAGGATAGCTAGAGAGTTTACATAGTTATATTAGACATTTAAATAGATTAGATGAGAAAAAAAGAAATTAATAAATAAATAGATTAAATGGATAAGATAACAATATGTCACATATAAATTTACTGCTGGTTAATGATTTGATAATCATAATTATCCTGAAGGGAAGATATTCTTATCCCTATTGTACAATTGAGAAAACAAAATCAGAGAAAAGGAAGTAAGCCCATATGGGTGTGTTACATGTACTGTCATATTTAGTTCTCAGAACTACCCATGAACTATTTCATAGACAAGGAAACGGTCCCACGAGGGAAAGTGATTTGCCTAAGATCACTCGCGTAGTGACAACAGAATTCTGCCTCCAAAGTCTGTGCTCTTCCCTCTGGTACCCCAATATCACCCCTTAAAGGAGAAACATACAGAGCTGTGATGGCACGTTAAACTGAAAGAGCTGGTACCTACCTGCCAATGAAGCTGAGTGATCTGACCCAGCCACAACACAAATTGCTTTAGAATTCTCTAGACCTACAAAAAAAATAAAAAAAATTTTTTTGAATTTACATTTATAATAGAACAAACGGGGCAGAGAAGGGGCTGAGCAACACCAGCAGGGCCTGGGAGAACCTCTTAGCCAGTGCAGGCAGGTCTGAGTCGGAGCACTGCCAAGAAGATGACTAACGTGGTGGGGAAACTGGTTACCCACCAGTGGGCTGAACAAGTAAGTAAATCTATTGAGGATAAAGGAGCCAGATTTCTCACTATCAGAGAGGAGAGGAAAGACACACATATGAAAAGATGGAAGGCTAGCATTGCCCATGCAATACTGGATTGCCATTGGAGAAATCAATATAGACTCATGGTTTCTAGTAGAGACAGATAAAGTGATATGGGTGTGCGCATGTATAAATATGTGTATTTCCTAGCTCTGTCCACTAAGGGGGCCTAGAAAAATGGCATCTCATACATTTAGCTACTACTGCATGCAGCACTAAAATACACACCCAGGCTTCCTAACAACACACAGGCAGAACTAGAATTCAACCTGCCTTCCACCTCTAAACTCAACACTTTCCTCCCTTAATCACACTGCCTTTACTGACAAGGTATAATTCCAATCAACTCTGCTAGAGAAATTCAGTCATTCTGTAACTCTTTTTTTCTGACACTTCTGCTTAATTAACTAGGGTCTTAATAAAATGCCCCTCAACCTTAAAGTATCCTGTGGAATGAGAAAGGGACACGGCAGACATTTCGGCCGCATTCACCAGAGAAGAAGCGCTGGGCTCCTGGTGGCCAGGTGAGGAGGGACATCCAGGGTCACAGCTCCAGAACTGCTGGTGGTAAAGTAAGGTGGAGGAATAAAAAATGAAAGACTTTAAGGGCAGGAAGCTGATGACCTGTTCTAAATGTGTCATCAAAAAGTTCCTCCAATTCAACTCTGAATCTAAGCTGCGCCCCAAGCAGATCTCAAACAGGCTGTTCAAATCAAATATAAGAATCGCATTTCTAATTCCTTCTGGTTACAGTTCTGTGCTAAAATAGAAAGCAGAATCTTTGGTGTGTGGGAAAGATTGTACAAACAACTCATAACAATACAATATACAGTGCTATCCACACATGAGAAAATATGACAGAGGCAAGAAGAGGGGAAGTCTTTACTTAGAAAGCTGTACCTGAGCTAGGCCTTAAAAATTATCAGGATTTTCCTGGGGGAACAGGAAGGAAAAGGCAGAGGTAAAAGTTTGCCCACAGGCACAGAAGAATGAGAAAGCAGGATGCGCCCAGGGAGCAGTAAATACCCTGGTGAGGCAGGAAAAAATGTTTGGGAAGTTTGAGTTCATGTTCTGAATGCTTTCAATGCCATGGGAAGTGGACTGCCTGTCCAGCATCCAGTGCCTCCTTCTCCCTCCCCAACTCAACCCTTCAGGTGGCTAACCTCACCCCCAGAGGAAGAGGAGAGCCTGTAGGACTTGGGAAAATCAGAATGAACCCAACATCTTATATATCGTCCCCGCTGTACCCTACCTTTTTCTTTCCCCCCTTCCTACCACCTTCTAAAATCCTTCTTTGTTCTGAGCTAGAGGGGAGTAGTTAGAGGTTTCCTGTAAAGGTTTCATTACAGCCAACCATCAGTAGACTGGGTCACAAAGTAAGAGAGTGAGACAGGAAGAGGAAGAAGAAGACATGGTGCTATATAAAGGCCCACAAAGTGAGTGCAGAGCAGAGGGAAGGGAGAGAGGAAGGAAGAGAAAAGAATGAAAATGAGTCCCAGCATGAAAGAGAGAAAAGGAGAAAGTCCTACAGACAACTGGCCAACCAAACACGGACCAACAGACCTGTGGGCAGAGCATTTACTGACTACTCCTCATGTGCCCATGTAGAGAGATTTCCCGCGAGGAACACTCCTGCCTCCCTCTCTACATCCTCACTGGCTCCTGCTTTCCTTTGGGAGAAGGAATTGGGCAAGTCCTCTGGGTGCTCCCCGTGGGATGTGCTGCCTGCAGAGAGGGTGCCTCCTCATGTGTTCTCAGCTGTGCTGTCAGCTTAGTGGGCCCGACTCTATGCAGCTGCTCTAGTGCCTGGTAGGTAAATTCGACCTGGGATTCAGAATTTAGAGCAGTGATTCCCAAAGTGGGCGCTACCGCCCCCTGGTGGGCGCTGCAGCGATCCAGGGGGGCGGTGATGGCCACAGGTGTATTTGTTTTAACTTTTTTTGTATTACCTTTCTATTCTGAGTTCAATAAATAGTTTCATAATTTCAAACTTCAATGTTTCTAATTTACACCTTTCTTTACTATATTTTACAAAAAAGGTAGAAACATTAATACATATATCTTTCTGTTTAATTGCTATTAAAATTTTAAAAAAATTAATTTCCAGGGGGCGCTGAGTAATATTTTTTCTGGAAAGGGGGCGGTAGGCCAAATAAGTTTGGGAACCACTGATTTAGAGGTTTACTATTGCTACACACTATTCCTTAACACCTAAGCCATGTCTTCCAACCTATCTTTGAATAGTTCTAGAGCTACCGTGTTGATCTCCACATACCTGACTTGCATCTACCTCTCAATGGGTTCCAAACTATGGCAGTGAAGAGAGATGCTTTTATTGGGTCCACAGAAATCCCAACAAGACTAACAGACCCACCAACAGAGAGAGTTAAGACACAGAGACCAAGAAATACCAAAAGCAAAACTCCATTCACCCATTTTCTGCATGCCTGTGGCTCTACTTCTTGACAAAGAATCAATACAGGACTCAGAAGAAATAAAGGCCTTACCTGGCACTCTGCTCGGTTCCTTTGCTGTCAAAAACAGTGGGAGGGTCTGCCCAGGGCACAACCGCCGTCCAGATGATGCCAAACCAGTTCCCCACTGGAACACAATGCCACTTGCTTCCCAATTGAACAGAAGAAAAAAATGCTTATTTGGATAAGACCAGATTGTTCTTTGAACTTCACTGCTATGGAAGGTTCCTAATTCATTCTCAGTTAACTCATGCATTATGGAGAAGCTTATTTCTTCAAGGGCCTTATGACTGGTCACAGGGATTACCACCAAGCCAATCAAAATCTAATCTTCAGCCTTAGCCGTTCTGGCTCAGTGGCTAGAGCATCGGTCTTCGGACTGAAGAGTCCCGGGTTCAATTCCGGTCAAGAGCACATGCCCAGGTTGCAGGCTCGATCCCCAGTAGGGGGTGTTCAGGAGGCAGCTGATCAATAATTCCCTCATCCTTGATGTTTCTATCTCTCCCTCTCCCTTCCTCTCTGAAATCAATAAAAATATTTTAATAATGTTTTCAGAAAGAGTCCTTATCTTTTAGAAATGCATGCAGAAATATTTACAAAATGAGTGGGGGAGGGGAGGGGAGGACTTACAATTAAGTTAATCAATACATAATAGAAGCTATGCTGCTTTGTAACTGTACAGAAATGTATACATAAGGCTAGCAATTATAGAAAGTTGGTAGGAAAGGGGGGAGTAAACCCATGATAGGCAATTCTCCACCCTGTTAATTTCTAAGAGAAGCTACTGCTTATAAAAGTGTAATTACTACCATACAACTCAGCAATCACACTCCTGGGCATTTATCCCAGAGAAATGAAAATTTATGGTCACATAAAAACTTGTCCACAAATGTTTACAGCTTTATTCTTAATAGCCAAACTCTGGAAGCAACCAGATGTTCTGCAATGGGTGACTGGTTAAGCAAACTGTGGTTGTTAGAGACTGAATTATGTCCCCCGAAAATTCATGTGGAAGCCCTAGCCTGCAATGTGACTGTATTTGGAAATAGGGCCTATAAGGAGGCAATAAAGGTTAAATGAGTCATAAAAGTGAGACCTTAATCTGATAGAACTGGTGTCCTGATAAGTAGAGGAGAGATACCAGTGGTGTCTCTCTGTCCATGTGTGTATAAAGGAAACGCCATGTGAGGACACAGAGAGAAGGCAGCCATCTGCAAGTCAGGAACAGAGGCCTCACCAGAAACCAATTCTCACAGCACCTTGATCTTGGACTTCTCACCTCCATAGCTGTAAGAAAATACATTCCTGTTGTGTGAGCCACCCAGGCTGTGGGATTTTGTCTTGGCAGCCTGAGCTAATATGGTGGTACCTCTATACCATGGAATACTACTCCGCAATAGTACTTGATGCTCAAAACTGGGATGAATCTCTAGGGAATTTTGTTGAGCAAAAGAAATCCAACCCGAGAAAGCTGTATACCCTATGATACCATTTATACAATATTCTTGAAGTGACAATATTATAGACATGGAAAACAGAAGAGTGGCTGTCAAGAGCTAAGACGGGAGTGGGGCAAGTAGGAAGTGAGTGTCGCTATAAAGGGTGACAAGCGGTCCTTGTGGTGATGCACCTGTTCTGCATCCTGACTGTACCCAGACATCCTGGTTGTGCTGCTGCACCAGTTACAAAAGATGTTACTACTGGGAGAAGCTGGGAAAAGAGTGCATGAGATCTATCTTATTTCTTACAACTATGTGTGAATCTATAATTATCTCAAAAGAAAAACTTAAATGATTTTTATGTACAATTAACACTAAGACCACCATCAGCACAGTGCAACACCAGCCTCTTCCTCTCCTCTCCTCTCCCCACTCTACAACTGGACTCACCAAACGCTTGAGCCTCAGCTGCCACAGCTGGTTAGGGCTGTCCTTCAGCCCAGGAGTGGGAGCAGAAAAATGAGCAAGGGAGAGAGAAAAGAGTCACTGCTCTTCCACCTGCCACCGTCCCTCTCGACTCATCACCCTCAACCTCACACACAATCAGCCCTACATCCATCGCCCTCTCACAGTTCAGGAGACAAGCTCATTTGAAGCTTTGAAATCAATAGACATTAAAATCCTACTAGTGCCGTCAGAGCCAAGAAAGTGGGCCTTGGAATCCTAGACTCTGACCCCAGCTCTACCTTTTACTACCTTACTCCTTGTGGAACCTTAGGCAAGCACTTTAGCCTCTCTGCACCTCAGTTTCTTCAAACATAAAAATGTAACTCACATCACCACACGGCTGTGAGGATTAAATGAGTATTGATTAAATCAAGAGAGCCTAGCCCCATGCCTAGAACATAATAAAGAGCTGGAAGTTTATTTCCTTCCTTCCTACCTGCTAAAGGCTTTCCCACATAACTTTGGCCTTACATCCCTCCCATTAATCACAAGTGCAGTGGAGGAGGACATTGAGTTACTCCTTATAGTTGACTTCTTCTAAAATTCTGTTTCTCCTTATTACACATCTATTTAGAAAATAAAAGCAAAATGATCACCTGTAGCAGCTAACGCATGCCTCAGTCCAGCAGCAATACTAACAACCTCCTCTCTCAGGAGCTGTCAAAACAGAGAAAAGGATTGAGTCCTCAGAATCATCCATCTCCAAACTGTTATGAAATTGATGCCCAAATGCAATGCAGCATGGCCCACATTATGTGTCTATTGGTTTAGAGCCCCCATTCATAAACACCTCCACATGCATCCCTAAAAGACAAAAACCTTTTTAATATACCCTATCACAATGCCTCTCACAGATGGAGGGACCTTCAGGTTAATCCAGTACACAATGGTTGGAAAACATTTTCTATAAAGGGCCAGACAGTAAATATTTTAATTTTTATAAATATATTTTTAATATATTTTTATTGATTTCAGAGAGGCAGGGAGAGGGAGATAGAAACATCAATGATGAGAGAGAATCATTGATTGGCTGCCTCCTGCACGCCCCCTACTGGGGATTAAGCCCGCAACCCAAAGGAGCTCTCTGGGATCTTTTTTTTTTAATCCTCATCCAAGGATACTTTTCCATTGATTTTCAGAGCGAGTGGAAGGGAGGGGGAGAGACAGAGAGAAACATCGATGTGAGAGAGACACATTGATTGGTTGCCTGCCACACGTGCCACAACTGGGGCCGGGGGTTGAGCCTGCAACCAATGTACACATGCCCTTGACCGAAATCAAACCTGGGACCCTCAGTCCGAGGGCCAGTGCCCCCACCCCTGAGCCAAACCAGCTAGGGTGTAAATATTTTAGACCTGCCCTGATCGGTTTGGCTCAGTGGATAGAGCGTCGGCCTGCGGACTGAGGGGTCCCGGGTTCGATTCCGGTCAAGGGCATGTAC